TTTTCAACAGTGTTGAGAAAACTGAATATCCACATGCAAAAGAATTAAATTGGACCCTTACTTCATGCTATATACAAAAACTAACAAAATGGATCAAACACCTAAACCTAAGAGATAAAACTAAGAAACTCTTAGACAAAAACATAGGAGAAAAGCTTCATGACACTGGGCTTGGCAATGATTTCTTAGATATGATACCAAAAGCACAGGCAACAAAAGTAAAAACAGATAAATTGGACTACATAAAAGTTAAAAACTTCTGCACATCAAAGGACACAACAGAGTGAAAAGACAACACACAGAATGAGAGGAAATATTTGCAAATCATACATATGACAAGGGCTTAATATCCAGAATATATAAAGAACTTAATAACAACAAAAAAACAAACAACCCAATTAAAAATGGGCAAAGGACGTGAATAGATATTTCTTCAAATAAGATATACAAGTGGCCAAAAAGCACATGAAAAGATGCTCAACATAACTGCTCATTAGGGAAATGTATATCAAAACCACAATTGGGCACTACCTAAATGAACAATTTCATCACTCGAAAGTTCTACCTTCCACTAGAACACACTGCAGTCAAGTTATTTGCCACTTTATAACATGGATCACCTTTCCTCCAGTTTCCAATAGCATGTTCCTCGTTTCCTTCTAAGACCTTGGGAAAACTGCCCTTAATGTCCATATTTCTAACATGCACCTCAAAGCTCTTCCAGCCTCTACCCGTTACCCAGTTCCAAACGCACTTCCACACTTGCAGGTGTTCATTACAGCAGCATGCCACTTCTCGGTACCAAAATCTGTCTTAGTCTACTCAAGCTGCCATAACAAAATACCATAGACTGGGTGGCTTAAATAAAAAAAATTTATTTTCTCACAGTTTTAGAGGCTACGAAGTCCAAGATCAAGGTGCCAGCTGACATAGTTGCTGGTGAACGCCGTCTTCCTGTCTTGTGGACAGACTACTTCTTCCTGTTTTCTCACATGGCCCTTGCTCGGTGTGTGCACACAGGGAGAGAAAGAGACCTCTCTGTCTTCCTCTTGTTAAAAGGCCACCAATTCTACTGAATTAGGATCCCACCTTTATGACCTTACTTAACCTTAATTACCCCCCAAAAGCCCTATCTCCAAACAAAGTCATATTAGCGGTTAAGGCTTCAACATATGGATTTGGGAGGGGGACACAATCCAGTCCATAGCAGATGACAAATTTTATATTATGTATATTTTAACACATGTTTTTTAGAAAAGTAGAAATACAGAATGTAAGCAGACACAACAATAGAAGGAAAAACAAGACAAAAACATCACAGTTAGACAAACAAACATCCAATACAATGGGGTCCACACGATGGAATATTACTCAGCTATATAAAGAAATGAGCCATCAAGCCACAAAAAGACATGAAGGAACCTTAAATGCATATTGTGAAAGGAGTTGATCTAAAAAAGCTATATACCATATGATTCAAATTATACAGTATTCTAGAAAAGGCAAAACTATAAAGACAGTAAAAAAAAAAAAAAAAAA